ATAACATAACATAATATAATATTATTATTTATAAAATATATAATTATTATATTTAATTTTATAAAAAATACTACTATCCCAATTATTATTATAATTATTAATTACAACATCACGACTATATTATATTATATTATCTTATAATGATAAATATAATTATTATTAATTACAATATCACAATTATATTGTATATTATATTATATTTATAATGATAAATATAATTATAATGTATAATACGTAATATAAGATATTATTATAATATTAAATATGATATATTATAATACACCTATATAATTATAATATATTATAATACACCTATATAATTATATTATATTATATTATATGTTACAAGATATAATTACATTATAATATAATATTAATTATATTATAAATATTAATATAATAATTATAATATTTAAGGGTAATGATGGAAAAGAAAATTAAAAGAGCTTGGAATGAGCATTTTTCTCATATGAGGAAGGAATGATGATTCACCCATTTGATGGAAAAGCCATTCTTTTTTCTAAAACCAACCAAACATGAGAATGAAACTTAATTCCTTTCCATTCCTTTCCATTCTCCCTAACCAAACACACCCAAAGAGTAGTTGGAAAACATTAGTGATGCAAATTGCAAGCAAGTCCACACAACATAATTAATGACACCAGCATAAATATATGACTGTTAACTAATCGATTCAGCTAATATAATGTAAAAGATTGAAAATTCCACTTCACCTGCGACTGTACTTTCTTTTTCAATTCATCGGCATACTCTTCAGAAGTTGACTGTTCAGAAGACACTAATGATTTCTCAACAGTTAACGAATCAAGACGCTGTTCTAGAATGTCTACTTTTTCTTGTAACTCCTTGTTCTCAGCACACTGAAGAGTCGAGACAACCAAATTTATGTCAGAAATAGCTCTCACTGAATGAAGTAAATGTTTGCGTGGAAACATATTATAGATTAGCGACATCCTGAATTGAGAGTTAAATAAAGCTTCAATAGAATGACGTTTTAACCTTATTCTGCAGTTGCTCCTGGAGAATACGGTTGTCTGCTGATTTTAACTGCACAAAAACATATGCTAATAATTAACCAAGCGCATTTTAAATAACATACGAGAAAATATTATGCAAACACCAAATGCATTTTAATAAGCATAAAGTGGTAACTCTTGAATGCAGTGATTTCAGAAAACTCACCTCCAATTCAAAACCCTTCTCATTACACTGGGTCATTAATCTCTTTACCGTCTGTTGCAGCACACAAAGCAGTTAAAAACAGTTGGTAATATTGCTATCATGATAATTGATAACACTAAATACAAGTTAAAACTACCTGTTGCATTTCCACCATTGATGCATTAGAAACTGAAGCCTCGCCACTTTCAACAATGCGTTGTTCTAAAACCCTCATTTGCCTTCTTTTTTCTTGGATCTCACGTTCCAAGTTCTGAATCTGTAATTAAGGAAATAAGTATATTTGATTTTTCAGTTTGCTAGTTACAGAGATGGAAAAATAGGGCAGGGAAGGGGGTGCAATTTGGGATTGGAAAATAACTGGAAGGTTATGAACTTGAAAACTACTTGTAATACACATCAAAGCAGAAGGGGTTGCATTCTTAATGTTCGGATGACAACCTAAGGCCAAAAAAAATGTGGGGCCTTTGGATAAATCCATGAAGTTCAAATATTGTTGAAAAATCTAAAGAACATGACGGCATTTGATTCTTTTTTCATTATTTCATTCAATTTAAGAGGCATCATCACCGTACTTAAAATAATCATATCAATTTTAAACCATGAATTGTGAACCAAACTAAGACGTGGATCAGAATACACAGAAAGATAGAAGAAATATATGTACTTGGCTTTTCGAGCTTTCAGGGTCCTTTACAGACTGCTCAACCAATCGCTTCAAGGTGCTAGTGCCAAATGCAATTTCTCCAGCAAGCATCTTAACTTGTTCAACAAGAAGGTCTATCTGATCTGACATTGTCATTCCAACCTAAAGCACAATAAAATAACAGCCCGTGGTTAGATCAAAAGTCCGAATCATCTGAAAATTATCAGTTTGTGCCGAAAAGATGATTAATACAAATTTGTAGAGTGACTATTAGTATTCTATCAATGGCATCCAAGAGAAATGGTATCTATTAAAAAAGTTCACCTCAATTCCCACAATAAGGATACAACATTCTGATTCAAAATGGAAGCAAGAAGATAAACAACAGAATAAAACTAGAGGAAATTATTTTCAACAGAAACCTCCCCGAGTGATGTTAATAAGGATACAACATTCTGATTCAAAATGGAAGCAAGAAGATAAACAACCGAATAAAACTAGAGGAAATTATTTTCAACAGAAACCTCCCCGAGTGATGTGCTGAGAAATTTCAATGCTCCAGGAAACAAAAAACAAAAAAAAAAGACAAAAAACGAAAACAAAACAAAAACAAAAGACAACAAAAGGTGAAATGGCAAAGCAAGTCCACGTTTCATCACGCCCTCCGGGGCAAAGTTTCAACTCTCATCCTGCAAGAATTTGAGTTTTTGTGGGATCTCACGACCAATATTGCAACAAATAGTACCCGTCCATAAAAACCAAGAAAATATGACTTGCTAAAAAAATTCAAATTCTTCCTCATTCTGCTTTAAATAGCATTTAATGCTATGCATTAGACATGACATCAAATCGTATAAATATGTGTAGTCCCCACAAAAGGGAAAAAAAAACGATGATAATTTAAGGCTGAACATTCTCTTGGAACATTTAAGGACAAACATTCTCTATAAAACATAAACCAAAAACAATCAGCTTCTTATGCAGCATAGCTAAGAAAATAACAAGTAAAAGAACTAGCATAACATACTGCAGGCAATTTTGAACCACTGATAAGTTCACCAGCTTGAGTTGATTCAGTAATAGTGCTGCTAGTTGGTGAGAGTTCTTCATTCCACCTGCTGGAAGATCTTCTATGCTTCAAGTCATTAGATGAATCAGAGGCCAATATTTGAGAGTCCCTCTGGCCATCCCCCTCTCCAAACAAAGAACCCTCGCGCAAACCATCCCCATCCAGTTTCTGGTATAGAAAGAGATCAAAGATCTTATCACATTGTGTTTTCAGAATGAAAACATTAATAAAATAATTAAATAAAAACTAGAAAGACCCACGTCAGAATAAAACCACAACCCTTTAAAGATAGAGGCATTACTATTTGGAGAGTAGGAAAAGCCTGAAAAGTAACTAGCTCTGGTAAGTGAGAGAAAAGGAGATCGATAGTTATCTTTAAATAACAAATTAAGCATTAACCGAGCTGACTAAAATATCATTCAAATCCTTGACATAAAACATCAAACTGTGATTTTCCGTCAATAGACAAAAATATTACTTTGTATACCAGTGCCCAAACTACTTTAGAAGTTAGAAATCGAACACACCACAAAGAACATTGTCCATACTTTGAATTACAAAATTGTAATAGTAATTCATGAACTCACATCATCCTCCCCAACTGAATGACTCCGTTGGTGGCTGGGAACATCACTCAAACAACCTGGAATTGTGTTTTTTGAAGAAACTAGAATGAGTTTGGTTAGCCTTTGGATTCTACTCATGAGAGCAGCCTTGGCTTCTTCTTCTTCCTCTAGCCTTGATTGCATTTTAACTTGACCTTCTTCCAACTATTCATCAAACATAACAGATTTGGTAATCATCATCAGAGATCATGATATAACAGTATCATCACAGACATTACTGATATGTTTAAGAAAAGAAAAAGGAAAATAAGACAAAAAAAAGGACCTTTTGCCTTAAGCTCATAATCTCATCGTGACTAACACCAACAAGCATACCACTCCTTAGCTGATCAAGCTCTTGTTTGAGGGTGGAAATTTCTCTTTGATACTTCTTAATTAGTGATTTTTCATCAATAATCTGGCAGAATCATTAAACAGAGAAAAAGAGAAAATTAAGTGCTTATCATTTAACGTTACCTTCAAAAATTAATCAGACTGAAGTTGCATCGCACCTTATTACGTGACGCGTAGATTTCTACTCGCTTTGCTCTGCTTGCAAATTTTAATGTATTATGAGTTTCCTCCATGTTACTTGATGCAGGGGTAACAGTGCATATAAGCTGGGAATGTTGTAATAACAGCAAAATCATTCAGCAAACAGGATCAACTATTCATGCTACATAGCTTGTTGTCATAATAGTAATCAAATGAAAGCAAAATATGACAAGTTATAACCTAAAATTAAAATGTATCTACAGAAGACGACTCCTTCCAGAATAACAATATTGAATAGTATTATTCCATTGATATTATGATCATAACTTATCAAACTCACCGAAACATGTCCATGGCCGCTTAATGAAGATTGTAGTAGGCGGGTAAGCTTAGAATCTCGATATGGAACATGAGATGCCTTCCCTTCACTTAATTTTCCTATCACCTTCACATTGCAACAGTACAATCAAACTATGAACTTGTATTATTATTAAAAATTACTCGTAGATGAAGATTATATGGGAAAATATTAGTGACAGATATTCAGCCAACTAGAATATTTTCTAATAGTGATTGGAACTCATAAGGTTGGTGTTTCTTTTGAGGAGATAAATCAGCAAATTTAGCAGATAATGTTCCAGATAGAAATACGCACAAAAGTGAAATTCATAATTGTTTAATAGCACATTAAATCGTGGGCACATACTGTTCCAAGGGTTAAAAGACTTTTGTTAATGTAAGATCCCTCCTTTCTCCGTAGTCCAGTTGTTTCAGTCTTTGAACTTTCAGATCCAGCTAGATCAATCAAATTCTGCAGACAAAAATGCCAAAAAGAAAAAATAAATAATAAGACAACGCTTGAATGTTAAATGGATGTAATTTTGTGGCACGAGACTGAGAACCATACAAGTTGAGAAAAGATGACCCCATCATATTCATCACCATGATCACTACTTTCAATCATCTGCAGATACATGAGCAAGTTAGAGGCAGAAACAGTGTCAGATAAACATGCAGGTACTTGAACAAGGTTTTAAAAACATGGCATTGTTTTAGGTACAATCCAAATTACAAATAAAGAAGTTGTTTTCCCGAGCCGTGCGTAGGCCAGAATATAACACTTCAAAGAATCTCACTTGGAAATGCAGAATAAATTCATTCATCCTCCAACTTTACTCTTTTCTAAAGATAGAATACCAAAACTTGACAGACGCGCACTTATTTGAGACAACACAAGCCAGTCTCCAATTTTAAGAAAAATGAACCAATTGCATTGTAGGATTAGAAGGAAAAGGGTAAGTTGCTAGTTCATTTTTTGAAAGATACTTCAATTTTTGCAGGTAAACACAAATTTATTTTAAAGCAAATAGTTGGAAAAACAAAAACAAAACTAGAAACTTAATCCAATCCAGCACACATAAATATTGAAAAACCAATAGACATAATTTGATAACTTTTACCAGTGTGAATATGGTGTGACTTCGACTGCTCAACAAATTGAAATTATTTGATCCAACATGACGATGCTCTGTGTTATCATACCAAATAAAAAATAAAAATAAAAAGGAATAAGTTGCTAAATTTCTGCACATTTAATCATTATCAGAAAAATAGTTATAGAAGAGGGGGAGAAAATGAAAATGCATGACAGAAGACATAGTTCAAATACCTTCCCCAGCAGCAATAAAAGAAAGTGCATGCCCAGGGGACAGAACCACCTCTTCCTTAATACCTTCTACATATGTACCCTGAATCAAAATGTCAGAAATCCATTAAGTATACATCTAGAGGTACTTGATCAATTATAAACACTCTTTGCATTGAACAGTACAGAAGAGAACATTGGAACGAATCCACTATCTAAAAGATAAATCATGAATCAATCAGTAACATTTAATTATAAAGCGACAATGCAGCACTTACCAGACCTAGGAGAGAAAACGGAAAACAGGAGAGAGGAAAAAAGATCGAGAAAGTGATGGATATAAAAAAAAAAGTATACACTATAAAATAAGTTACAAGTGATAAACCTGTGCATCTTCTCTAACACGCAGATTCTGACCTGTTGGGTCAAGCAAGTCGTTTATAACCTGATATAGAAGGACAAACAGCTCCAAAATCAATGAGCCAATATAGATGAGAGTATTTGCTGTTAACAGATAACATTTTCTCTGAGATCAGCAACAGCATCTATGTTACAACGGAAAAACATGACCAACTTGTTCCCCATAGAGAAAATGAAAACTGTGATACTGCAACGCGGTAGTTAACAATTTCATAGTGCAAATGTAAGAGGAATGATTTCAACACGATATGAGACATGGAGAAGAATTTGAACATGATATGAGACATGGAAAAGATAATGATTTCAAAATCTGTCTTGCTTTATGAAACTGAGACGTATGATAACAACTGACCTCATTATAAATTTCTAGATATGACACGCGCAGTAAAAACTCTCTTCCTGGAGTCTGTAATAAGAATCAGCTAGCAGTTAGCCATAGCGGCGTGAATCCAAAATCAGAAGAATAAAACTGACCAAAACAGAGAATAAAGCTTCTTACTATACAACAGTAATAATGATCATTCATGCAAATTACAGACAAGGCATCCAATATAAAACATTACTAAATACTTTCCAAAGGAACCAGATTGCATAATTTCAGTTCCGCAGATAAGTCGTCATCCCAAATAGATGTTACAGGAAGAAAAATATTTTGCATGGATATTTAGGAGATATCATACGGTCATGAAACTATCAAGATTAATTGTACAACAACAACACTATGCCGAAACAGAAAGGATGGCAGTTGGAAGTTTTACGTGCCGTTTGTGTGTGTCAGCTTCTCGCTACTAACTCCTGTTCTTCAGAAAACATTTATATTAAGAAACCTTCCTTACATACATACTTACATACATTCATACATACATACATACATGCATGCATGCATGCATGCATGAATTATTGAAGAAAACTTACATCTTGAATCATGCTGAATACATCCTTTATAGCCAATGGTATAATACCAGGACAATTTTGATCTCCCTGCATGGGTTTAAGACGAAATAAGTCCACAGTGCATCTAATTAATGCAAAGACGCTTGTTATATACCATATCACAGAGGAAATAACGTGCTTACTTTTTAATCGGAAACAAAGAACACGAGAACGGTAATAGCATATGTGCAAACACGAATTCAAACAAATGTCATATGAATAAGCTTGTAGCCGAAACCATCAAACATCACAATCATATCACGAGAAATCTAACTAGAACAAGATTAGCCAGCAAAACAACATTTTCAAGATACCATAGCAAATGTAAAGCAGAAAACTATTCGCCTCATTTATTCCTTTCCCAGCCAAACAAATCTTATAGCCCGTTTGGTTCATAGATTAGAACCATGAGATTAGAACCATTTTCGATTTACGTGTGTTTTTTGTGAGAGAAAATACTGTAATGAACCATGAACCATGATTCGAATCAGAGAACGAATCCTCCAACCAAACGGTTTCTTAATGATCCACCTTAAAAATAAAAATATAGATAAATAAATAAACACCCTATAGATGGATGCAACAGGGAGTGGTTTAACCTAAAGAGGATAATCCTACAAATACGCTTAGTCCTTTGTCAAAGAAAAACTATAAATCCTCACACGTATCAAGTAACAAACAAGAGCAGTTTCTGTAAAAACACTAGTTGTAACTGCCCCAAACAGACCACTAGCAAAATATTATAGTTTCCGCGGATATGGCCCGACTAGGATAAAGTTGTCTAAAGTGGGAAAAAAAATAATAAGGAACTTTCAAATATAGACACTTACATGCATGGTGTGTGTCTTCCCACTACTTGTCACACCATAAGCAAAAACTGTCCCTGCATCCAAAATACCAAAACTTTGAATCCTATCGTTCCGTAGAGTAATTATGCCTCTAAACAAAATAAACTACAATAGGATACTTCAATGCATTTACTTCAGGTCAATTTACTTATTTATCTTTTAAACTGACAATCAAGAAAAGACACTAGTCACAACATTTCAAATTAAATTGATCACATAATCACCATTTAAGTTTACTTTCATTAGGATTCCACAAATCATAAATTGACCCACTGTGAGTTTAGAGAGAAAAAGGATTCAAATACCATTTACGCCCTCCATGGCAGCCTTGACCACAGGTTTAGCCGCTACGTCATATACCTCTTGCGAATTCGTGTGTTGTCCAAAGACTTTATCTGCCAACACAAAATCACTCGCGAAATTCAACATTCAATAAAACGCTTTCAATTAAATGTAAATCATCTACACCAGCGCGTTGCTTGGACATCTGCATTTTCAAATTTCAGTTCATGATTTCTCCGAAAATCTAAATTATCATCAATTCAAATCGAACTCCAAATTAGGAAGCGAAAAAGAAGTACCAAATGCATAAGCCGTAGCAGGATTATACTCATTCCTCACGATCTTATCCCCATCGGCATACCAGGCGATCCCATCTCCTCTCTGAAACTCCCTCTCGCTGCAAGCACAAGTCCGCAAAAACCAAACCGCTCAATCACATTACTTCATTACAAGAACCCTAGCATCAAACAGCTCAATTTCGTGCAATTTCAAACCACGTAGATCTGATCCAAACAACCTCAGATCTATTACTTTACCTCAACGGCCTAAACCGAATCGTCACCGATATGCTATCCCCCGACCTCGGCGCGTCGAGCGGCTCGGCAATCAGCTCCTCGGACGCGAATCCCACGGGCGTAGGACCGCCGTTGCCGCGTGAGCCGCCGTACAATGAATCTGAGCGGCCACGGCTCGGCGTCATGGATCGGGAACCGGAGCCGAGTCCGCCTCCAGAGTTGAAGTACGACGAGGCCGAGGAGGAACACGAGCGAGGCATGAGCCGCCCGTTCATGAACGAGGACGACGACGACGTCGAAGAGTAGGGGCTGGACGGTTTCCGGTACGAGAACGGCGAGCTGCTCCGCGCTCGAGACGACGACGCCATGGAAGGCAGCGAGTCAAACCTGGCGAGTCGACGAGTCGGCGACTCGGAGCGAGAGAATGCGGAACAAATCGAAGACGAAAACAACGAAGAAGAAGACGTAAACGAAGAGAAAAAAAAAAAGGGAGAAGAGAATGTGTCAGAGAGCTCACATGGTTTGGGACAAAAAAGCGAAAAACAATCGTGTTTCTACCCTTTTTCTCAAGCAATATTTATTTTCCCTTTCTCTCTCTACAAGCTTCAAGGAGAGAGAAAGAGGAGAGAGTGTTTTGTTTCGTCTTCTTTAAGACAAAGAGTGAGTTGCAGAGAAAATGAGAATAGCGAGAGAGAGGAGAGAGAAAGAAATGGTGAGTGGTGGTAGTGTGAGAAAGAGAGAAAGAGAGAAAGAGAGAGGAGTTTTATTTTTTATTTTTATTTTTTTTTCGTAAGGGAGTATTTAATATTAGTTTAATTTAAATGGAAATTTTTTGTTTTACAACATGGTGACGTGGAAAAATGAAATTTAAATTATGTGGGGTGGAATAACCCGCGCATTATTGAGAGCCAGGAGACAGGGAGGGAGGTGGGGGGGGGGTTGCTGACTTGCTTCGGAGAAAAATAAAATAATAAATAAATAAACAAGTAAATAAAACGTGGAATTGAGCGGGAATAACAGCGGCCCCGCCGATTCCCCTTGATTTGGAAATATGTCAATGTTTATATATTTTTTTTGTTTGTTTCCCACTTGTTAAAAAAAATATTTTTTTTTAAGGGAATCAAAAATCGATTGTTTAGTTTGATGAATGTTTTTACTTGTAAACCATGAGTTTTTTATTGGACATTTTGATATACATAAATCTTCATTATTTTCTTTTAGAAAAGTCTTCAACAGCGAAAAACTTAAATGAATAACTTTCATTAGTAAATTTAATAAAGTTCTTGATAAAATTTACTTCTTTTACAAAAGATTTGTACCTTTTTTTAGGGTACCATAATCAACGAATATGTAAATTTTAAGTTGTTAAAACAATCATAATTATATTGTATTTTTATACCATACCATAAATTTTCTTTCTTATAAGATTGAATATTTTAATCCTCAAAACAATTAGTTGTGCCTAATTAGTGACCATAAATAATACTGTATTTTCATTGCTTGATAATCAAATTAAATGCTAATTTTGAAAACAAAATGTAAAAACTAAAGAGAAAACTTAGGAGTGTGGGGAATTACAGTGGCAATCGGAATCAACTAAAAATATATCTATCACTTCTAAGAATAAAAGTCAATCTTTTGTCTTATTACTAATAAAATAAGTTTTTCAAAATTTCTCCTAATCAATCCAAGCCAATATTATGTACAAATAACGAAATAAATTGGACTTGAATGACAGTTTTCCTATGCCATTGTATAATTAAAAATTTTAATTCATTATAAACCATCGGATGAAATATTTTTTTTAGAAAAAAAAAGTAAGCAATATAGAGAAAATTAAAATCGAAGTGGAAATAAAAACATCGTTTAAATTTTATAATACAAGATTTGGAGATTGTTTGATAAAGTTAAGGATTTTTTTGTTCACATTTATATATATATATATATATATTTATTGGTGTTAACATTTATATTTGATATAGTGTGTTTTAATCTCCAATTAAAGGTAAGAAAGAAAAATATTTTATTTTTGAGTATTTGTATAAGAGAAATGATAAAACATATATTAATACATTATAGATATATAATGAATTGGATTTGATTTTACCAATTAAACAAAAATCGAGCTAATTTAATTGAGCTTTTATTGTTTTTCAATCTATGCAATGAAAATTATATGTTAATTACGCACTGAAATATTCAATTATACTTGACAATTTACTCACCCCTTATTACTAGGATATTCCATGTAGGGTATGTTCATTTGCAAAACTCAAGTCATGATTTGAGTTGTGTATATGAGAGAAAAAAGATTGTATCAAAAAAGTTGAATTTAAATTTTTGTTAGAGAAAATAATGTAACAATATAACTTAAGTCATGAAATGAACAAAATCGTAGTTACATTAACAATACTCACACAAATTTCATGAGAAGACATGGCATGATGTTTTTTACTACATTTTGTGGTAGCAAATTCACAATTATAGTGTTAGAAACTCTTGTATTCGATATAGAGGGCCCGAGCCTAACGGTCCGAATGAAAATTTTAGACCTGACTAGGACGGCCCTAAAAGAAGGAGAGTTTACCCAACCCGATCTTAAAGTCCCATGGACTTAGGGTCGGGTCGAGCCGGATTAAAAATTATAAGGTATATTTACTTTTTTTAAAAAAATAAAAGGTATTTGAACATGGACCGGACCAACCCATTTGAGCCGGCTCAAACTTTCACATCTAGTTTGATATGTTGTTGGTCTTGATTTCTAAATTAAGTTAAGTTTATTTCTTTCAAAAAGACAAAAAAATATATTTTTTTAAAAATTGTTTATAAAATTTTTCAATTTTTAATGCTTTTTTAAAAATAAAATATTCAATTTATTGAATATATTTTTTTATCTTTTTTTTGTATTTTCCTTAAAAAAGATACGTGAAATGAAACAAGTTTTTTAATTTTTAAAAATATCAAGCGTACTTACTAATAAAAAAATAAAGGATTTAGTAATGGATTTTTAATTTTTTATGTTAATTTGAAAATTTTTAAAGACAAAACAAATAAATAATATGGAACTCTTTTAGCCCTAAAATCAAATTAAAACTCAAGTTCAAACTTAATTTTTATAAAAAAACAAAAACTTAAATAAAATTGTAACTTGAGTTTAAACTTTTTTTAAATTTAAGTGTAAACGAACAAACTCTAAAGTGATGTTTGGTTCATGAGTTCAGAATTATGGTTCATGATTCAGATTTTTTAAATTTTAATTTTTTATGAGAAAAAAATATTATAACAAACTAAGAATTATAATTCAGAATCAAACGAGAACTCTCAAAACAAACAAAGCATAAATAATATGAAAACAAGAGGAGCGTTTGCGATGGTGAATTGACGAATCAAAAAGCAGTCTTGTTCTCAATTTTAAAATAATAATAATAAAAAAGACTTCGATTGGAAGAAAGACGAGACTGTCACAAAATGACTGATTTCATTATTAAAAATTTATATTTGGTCGTGCATTCTAATATATATTGCCTTTTCAAAATAACTTTTAAAATCTTGTTTTATGTGTCAATATCAATCAATTGTTTATACGTTTGAATTTTTGTTGAGACTTTTTTTAAAAAAAATTTATAGTGTTTTCTCTTATTTAAAAATATTAGTATTTCTTATTTATTAATTGTTATATTTGTGTTACTTTTTTAATTTAATTTGACTTTTAATCATATTTAATACAGATCAGGCAGTTAATATATAAAAAATATTGATGTTCTAAAAAAAATAAAACATCACAGAAAGTCTCTCTTTTTTTTCCCCTTTTCTGCTCAAATATGATTATCAACTATCACTAAAAACGATTTTCCCAAGTTAGAAGGCTTACCACGCAAAAATTAAGGCAAAAAAAAAAAAAAAGAGATATGTAATTGGAATAATTTGAATTAATGAGCAATTTGCTAAAGTTCTTGTTAAATAACTAGTAATCTAAAAACCTTTACATATAGCTTAAAGAATAGTTACACACATGCTGATCACCCGTAACTTCTTTTTTATTTTTTCGGCAACTTTGTTGATATTTATGGTATATTTATTTTATATACTCAAATTTAAATTATTAATTTTACTATCCTATTTTTCACTGAAAAAAATTAAATTTCAAAACTTACCATCAAGAATCGTTTACATTCTCTCCTAAAAAGTACACAGCTATTTACTGCTATAATAAATAAATAAAAAATACTATATATTATATTGCTGCTTTAATTTCGATTTTAAAGATTTTTTTCTTCCATTGGGGCGATTGTTTCAATAACTTTCTTTAATGTGATCAGTAAGGCTTCCATATTTTGAGAGTAAATAATTAATATGGAAGCCCACTCTCTTCTCTTATAAAGTTTTTTTTTTTTTTTTCAACCTTTTTGAGGATTCAAGACGAAGGCCCACCTTGTATTACTCATTTTCTTGTTTTGGCTTGAAAAACGGAATTAATCATTGTTAATTATCCTTTATCAGTACCATTATCGTGGCCTAACAAATAAAGAAAATGCATATAATTATTTTTTTAGTAACTTTTGAATGCATAATGACATGGATATTGACCAATTTTGGCAGTCTTCTTAATAAGGTGAATCATCTATGTCGATTAAACAGTACGTATTTATTTACAACTTAAATGAACTGCCTCATGTTAAATTTAAGTTTCATTTATTTGATCAATTTAAATTTTTAATTTTATTTTTACCATAATAAAAAGTTCTTATAAAAAATTACATCTAATTTTTTTACTACAGTTAAAAACTCTTATATTGCCGATTCAAGTTTTATTACAGTAAAAAATTATAAAAAACAGTCACATTTAACGTTTTTATTACAATAAAAAATTTTCACATAAAATGACATCTCAACTCAAATTAAAAATTTAAATCAATAAATTAAATGAGTCTAAAATCTTATTTCAACTCAACTTAAAAACTCACTTCGAAATGCTGATGTCTAAATTTGGACACAACACTACGTGCCAGCAGCGTATGGTGGTCGGATGAGGAGACAGAGTAGCACTAAAAAGTTATATGTACCTTCTAGTTGGACGAGTGCACTCTACTACTGTTTTTTATTAAAGTTTTAACAGCGGTTGATTTAAGGTTCGTTTAGATCCCATTTATTTTATTGATTTGAATTTAAAATTTAAATTTTATTATAATAAAAAATTATCATAAATAGTCACATTTAATTTTTTATTATAATAAAAAATTCTCACATAAAGTTACATCTCTACTCGAATTAAAAACTCAAATTAAAAGTTCGTTGATTCAAGTTTAGATGTGACTTTATGTAAGAGCTTTTTATTGTAGTAAAAAAATTAAATGCAACTGTTTCTGAGAATTTTTTACTGTAACAAAACTTGAATTTTAATCTCAAATTGATAAAATGAAGGAGGTCTTAAACTTTTGTTGCAAAAGTCCGTTCCAACCAAAAAACTGGCCGTCTCTTCTCTTGTTGCAATCGGTTGTCGGCTTCAATTTTCCAAAACCGATGGTGCTCAGTTAGAAACTAACTGACGCAAAATCGACAGTTACAAACTAACGTACACCCCTAAATAATAGCATCTACATGCTTCACGAATGAGTGGTTAAATCATTTTTGCTATGAAAAATGCCGAGAAAATGCCACGTGTCCCAAGACTCTAATTCTCTTTGTTGGGTCGTGATGTTATATGGAGGCTTGTTCATTTT